TAATTGAAGAAGTCTAAAATCATGAATAAAAGAATGTCTCTGCATTTGCCATTCCACCCTGTTACACCTAGCTGTACTGAAAAGTTGTTGTCCATTGGCCACTGTAATAACTAAAGGATATGGTGTAGTCACCTGAATCCCTGCATCAACCCACTGAGGTGTTAAGAAACTGTGGGTGCTACCACTGTCAATTAATATGTTCAGTGGCCTACCTAGAATAGTGCCTTAAATCCTTAGTGTATTATGACCAATACACCCATTGATAGCATTCATAGAAATTTCTAGGCTCTCATCTTCTTGTAACACTTGTTGTTCTGTCTCATTTGGTAAAGTTTCTGAAGATAAAACATGTTCTTCTTCAATCATCATATTCAATTGCTTTGTCTTACATTGATGCCCTGGAGAGAACTTCTCACCACACTTAAAACATAGGTTGTTTTGTCTCTTGTACTCCAATAAATTCTGTTTTGGAGGTAGACTAGTTGAACCTTTCTGTTGTGGGATTGATAAATTAAGTTTTGTAATAGGTAATGGGTTTGGGTAAGATGGGTTTCTAAAAAATGCTCTCCCTCTTTTATTCTCATATTCCACAGAAAGCTCATACAGTTTAGCTTGTCTGCAAGCTTCAGAGAGTGTCTTTGGTTCCAAAACTGTTACTCTATCCTTGATATCTTCTCTTAGCCCACTAATAAAAAGATAGACAAAAAACTCCTCACCTAGAGTAGGATTCTGTAACAGCATATGAGGTTGTAATTCTTCAAACCTGTCCTGGTACTCCTCCACTGATCCCTTCTGCACTAACTTTGATAATTCCTCAACTATGTCAGCAAAGTACTTATCACAAAATCTATGGCAAAGATCTGCCTCAAATTCATGCCATGTCACATGATGCTTCTGCATAATATAACCATCAAACCAGATTTCTACCTTCCCCATTAAATACATTGTAGCCACCTCCACATTTTGTTCCTCTGCAATATTACATAAAGAAAAATACTTGAGGCATTTTTGTATCCACTCTCTAGGATTATTTCCTTCAAAAAAGGCAGCTCAATCTTGGGTCTATGCCACATTAACCCTGCAGTATTAGAGGAACCTCCAATGCCTCTTCTATCCACATCCAAACTGACTATATTGTTTCTAACTGCACTGTTCTCTCCTGCTTGGACATCATTTCTAAAACTAGGTAAATCCCCTGGTTTAGATCTTAGAATTCCAGGTTCATCAGGGTTATAAGTAAACCTAGTCTTATCATTAAGCACAACGACTTTTACAGGTTGTTTTACCCTCTGTTTTAGAAGCGTTAGGGAATTGTATATGCTCGTTATCAGACTGATTTTGCTCCCCATTTCTACCAGTTAAAATCTTCAATAATTCCTCCACATATCATTGATTAGTGGCCATCCTGGATTCTAATAAAGAAAGTCAATTTTCTTGATTCTCCCAGCATTTAGGAACCTTCGTGTCATCCTGAGATTGCTTGACCAACGTTGATAACTCCTCCAATTGTTTTTGTAATGCTAAAATTTCTGTTGTTTCAGTCATACTTTGATTTTTCTTTGGCATTCCAATAACGATTTGCCAGGAAAATTTGGCTCTGAGATACCAATTTGTGATGAAAGCAAGATAATGAAGTAGAGAAAAATGAGATTTCAGAAGAGAATCAGAAAAGATTGAAGAAATTCAGAATTCATTCAGTGAAAATGATGCATAATCCTCCCTTTTGTAGGTACATTTATTTTTATACAGTGTACTATAAAATCTAACAAGCCAGCTGGCTTAGATTCTAACTAATTCTATTACTGCATATTATCCTTAGGCTTCTCTGGTGGACTTCTCTATTGGGCTCACGGTTGCTGGATCTTCAAATAGCTGTTGGGTTTAATGAACCCATGCTCCTCACGTGACCTATACTTCATCAGGTAAAAATCCCAATTCCTTCAGTAATCCCTAACCCTTGTTTTAATATTTTCCCCAATTCTCTCTTCACTTCCCCGATCGTCTTCTGCTCCATCCTCATGTCATCCTCCAACCATGACAAAACACAACCAAGCAGAATCCTACAAGTTAAGGCTTTCCAAAATTACATTGGTAGCACTAACTCAGCCATTGAAAGTATAATACTTTATACTGGGATAATATAGCAACAGAAAAAAGACCGTAATAAGCTGTCTATGGACTTACAGGAATCAATATATATTCAGAGGCATTGTTACTAATCCTGTTTCTGTTACTATGCAGGGAAGATATCTTTTCCCAAAGCTGTGAGGAATCTTTCAACTCATACTTCAAACATGGTATTTCAGCAGCCTCCAAAATAGTGGACAAAAGAGAAAATTAGAGAAAATACAATAGAATCAGATTAAAGTTGAGCGAGTAAATTTTGGATATCATAAAATTGTTTAACTACAACTACCGATTGAATATGCCAAACTAATTAAGAGAAAGGAAAACAAAGAGTGAAAAACGTAAGGCCGACCTGGATGTGTCGAAACGACGTCGTTCTAGTCGTCAGCTGCTGGATTGTGCCCCAGTTGAAGAATAAGAATGTGTTGAATGATTTTTTAATCAAACACAACTGCTAAAAGAAAAATGTAGGAACTTTTAGAAACGGAGGTAGAGAATCATACAACACGAACGAAAACAGAAAACAAAATAAACCCAGAATTCATATAAACGAAGCCAAGCAGAAATCTACAAGTTTTGAAGTTAAAAGAAAAAGTACCTTTATTAATTTACTAATAATCTATTGTTCGGGTTGTTGAAAAAAGCTATAGGCATGGGAGGCGGGGGTCAGTGACTGGAGTAAGGGAAGATAAGTGGATTTGAGTGGGACTGGATACTGTGTGTTGCGGGAGGAGGAGGGTTTGTTTGACTTTGAAAAACCTATTGAAAATGGAAATTCATTTACATTTACGGTAAATTACCTATTTAGTACCCTTTATTTTTATATTTTTATTTTAATCATCTAATTATTTTTTTCCTTATAGAATCATATCAATAATTTACTTTCTATTACTATTTTAGTATAACACCTTCAAATTTAAATGTTTCCTTTTACAAAGGGGTTTGATATTTTTGTCAATGCAACCACATCAATAATGAGAATGTCTTGAATTTCATCAGGCGGTTGTTGTAGAATCCAAAATGTCGAACTCTTATTATGTTCTAAGCGAATTAAAATATCAGCTTTATTGTTTGTTTCTGTTGAGACACAAACAATTTTAATATTTCATCGAAGATCAAGAATCCTATGAACCTTACAAATGATCGACGACTCAAGTAACTGAACATCAGGAGAACTAAGAAGCCTCACTACCATCTATTTCTACTACAACTTGTCTAACACCATGGTCCCATACGATAACTAGACCATCCAACCGAATTCATAAAAATAACAATTTTAATTCTTCAAATTTATATATTTTATTAGGTTTTCAAACTGATTTTATAAACCTTTAGTTATTATTCAATAGAAACATTTTGAATATTCTATTCTAACACAAACAAAATTACGATACTAAATTGATAGAGATTATCCCAAATAAAAGAGGTCCACTTGAATTTTTTTGATAGATTGGTCAATTTTTTACAATAATGCAGTAAAAAAAAATTGTTCAAACAGGACACTCTCAAAATTATTTTTTTTTGATGAAATTTTATCTCAGTAGAGTGGAATTTTAATTCGGGTGCACGTTAGCAGGGCTAACGAGATATGAGTTCTCCGGTGTGGCTTTGACGGTTTCTTGTAGTTTCTTGTTCAGATTCTTCTTTCTTGCTTCTTTCTTGGCTTTGCGTTCGTTTTATTTACTGGTTTTATGGATTGGAGGAAGCTCTTTGGGAGTGCTACTGAGCAAACCTTGGAGTATTTCCCCCTGTAATTCGAGAAGGATCTCCGGCTCCTTTTGTTCAACCGCCTCTGGAGGTTTTTGAAGCTGGTATTTCTGAGTGGAAATTGTCCTTGGTAGGGTAATTTCTTGGTCCTCATCCACCATTTGCTACTTTGAAGCGTATTGTTGATACTCTGTGGAAGACGACGCTTATGGGCTCGGGTGTTCATGTTAGTGTTGCCGGTAACAACCTGTTTGTCTTCTCATTTAGCTCCGATTCTGCTTGTAATTGGGTTTTAGATAACGGGCCATAGCATGTTCAGAACAAGCCTTTAATTATGCGTAGATGGGAGCCAAACATGAAACGTTTATATTTTGATTTATCTCGCAATACCTGTTTGGATTCAGCTCTATAACATTCCTTTAGAGCTATATTCTCGTGTTGGGTTGAGTTATGTTGCAAGTGCTTTGGGTGTTCCCTTGTCAATGGACGTTGTGACTGCCTCAAAGTCTATGTTGGAATACGCAAAGGTCTACGTTGAAATAGGGGTTAGGGATTCAATTCCTAAGTATATTGATGTTGTGTTGCAGGATGAGTTGGCTACATCGATTCTAGTTGTGGCTCATTGGATGCATGCAATACTTTTGGGCATAGTGAGAAATCTTGTACTGAGATGCTTAAGTCCCAGCCTCTTGTGGTTCAGGTCTGGAGGAAGAAAGAAGAGGATAAAAGGCCTGAAGGTGCTGTTGTTGGTGGTATTGAGGTTCTACAGGAGCCTGTTCACCATGTTAGGGTAGGGCTAGATAGCTGGGTGAGTTCCCAAGTTGGGGAGCTGGTTGAGGACCTTGGAGATGAAGTTCAGGCCATTAGCGCTGTCCCAACTGATGTTGTGAATGTGTCTCTTCCTTCCCTGTTGTTGTCGACTTACCTGTTCTGCAAGCTTCTTCTCAGAAGAAGAAGACAAAAGGGAGGGGTAAGGACAAAAAACAATTAGTTGGTTTATCCAATCGTTTTGAGGTTATAGTAGTAGCTGCTGGTATGGAAGGTACTATAAAACCTCGAGTTGCTTCTATGGGAGTTGCTGCCCTCTTGAATGAAATGAAAAGTAAAAAGAAAGAGTATGTGGGAGCTGTTGTAGGTGCTGTTGGGGGGGAGGTTATTCCTGCTCAATGATAGCTTGTTTTTGGAATGTCAGAGAGTTCAACAGTCCTTTGAAGCAAGTGCAGGTATTCTCGAGACTTGGTAAACTAAATGTGGATGTTATCTGCCTTATGGAAACTAGGGTGAGGTCTGCTAATATGGCTAGAGTTATTGATTGTTACTCTTCAGATTGGGATAACTTCTCAAATCATGAGTGTTCTGGAAATGGTAGATTATGGATTTTTTGGAGGAAAGGTCTAAATTTTTCTATTTTGGCTGCTTTTGATCAGTCTCTGTCCATAGTTGGTGAGATTAATGGTCATAGATGTGTCATTACAACTGTTTATGGTTGTAATACTGGTGCTGAAAGGCTACATCTCTGGAGGCAGTTGAATGAGGTGGAAAGTATGGTGGGGGAGTCATCTTGGCTTATTGGAGGCGATTTCAACTTTTTTGCTTATGCTGTTGAGAGTTCTGATTTTGAGAGGCTAGGTCTCTATGATAATGCTGATATGGAAGCACTCAGGAATTGCTTGTCTTCTTTGGAGCTCATTGATCATCCTTTTGTAGGGCCTTTATACACATAGTCCAATAGACAATAAGGAAATTACTTAGCCCACAAGTTAGATAGAGTTCTTATTAATCCTCGGTGGCTTGAAGCTTTTCCTAGTTCATTTGTTGAATTTATAGCTCAATGGGTTTCGGATCATTGCCCTGCATTAGTTTCATTCTTTAAGGACAACCATGCTGACAGACCTAAGCCCTTCAAGTTCTTCAATTGTTGGGCTAGGCATGAGGAGTTCATGAATGTTGTAAAGGAGTCTTGGCAGTCTGAAGTTTCTAGCACTGCTATGTGCTGTCTTTTCGCCAAGTTGAAAAGACTTAAGTTGAGACTAAAAGAATTTAACAGATGTCATTTTGAGGACATCTCCAAAAGGGTAAATGACAAGAGGAACCAGCTTGAGCAAATTCAACTTGCTAATCTTTCACATGCTGGCTGTTATATTGATGAAAAGAATACCCTCCAAAAAGAGCTTCATGATCTTGAAGTGGTTGAAGCTTCATTCTACAAGCAGAAAGCCAAAATCCATTGGCTTAAGGAGGGTGATAGGAATACTAATTTTTTTCATTCTGCTATGATAAGGAAGATAAAGAGAAATACTATCAGATTACTTTATGCTGAGGATGGTTCCAGGCTAGATACTTTTGAGGCCATGTCTGCTGAGATGGTGAGATTCTATACTGAGCTTCTTGGCATTGAAGACCCTGGTGTTAAAAGCTGTGATGTGGATGATCTTAATAGCTTACTGGGGTATGACCTCCCTTGTGAGGCTGCTGTTCTCTAATAAGGAAATTAAAGCCTCTTTGTTCAAGCAAGGGAATGAGAAGAGCCCTGGGCCTGATGGGTATACTGCTTATTTCTTCAAGGTGGCCTGGGATATTGTTCAAGGGGATTTCCTGGCTGCCATTAAAGAGTTTTTCCAGACTGGAATCTTGCTGCCTGCCTTCAATGCTACAGCCATTGTTCTGGTGCCTAAGGCTCCCAATGCAGGTATGGCTAAGGATTTTCGCCCTATTTCCTGCTGCTCGGTTATGTATAAAACTATTTCTGGCATCATTGTCAACTGTTTGGCTAGTTTCTTCCCAGACATGATTTTGCCTAATCAGTCTGCTTTTATTAAGGGTCGTAGTATTGTAGATAACACCCTTCTAGCCCAGGAAATAGTTAAGGGCTATTCTCGCAGGACATTGTCCTCTAGATGTGCTCTTAAGATTGACCTTAGGAAGGCTTTTGATTCTATTTGTTGGGATTTTTTGATGAAAGTGCTTGCTACCCTGGGGCTTCCTGAGGTACTTAGAGCTTGGATCAGGGCTTGTATCACTGGTGCAAGATTCTCTGTGGCATTTAATGAGAGCTTAGAGGGGTTTTTTAAGGGAGAAGTGGAATTAGGCAGGGTGACCCACTGTCCCCATACCTTTTTGTCCTGGTTATGAATGTACTGTCTCGTTTGCTAAATGTTGCTGCTAGGAATAGTTTAATTCGATTCCACCCCAAATGCAAACGTGTTTCTCTCACTCACCTTTGTTTTGCTGATGATTTGCTTATTTTCTGCCATGGGGATGTGAGTTCTATTTTGGTTGTTGTTGGAGTCTTGGGGGTTTTCTATGAGCTGTCTAGCCTTCAACTGAATGCTGGTAAATCAGAATTATTTGCTTGTGGGGTTCATGATGATATTTTGAGCAGGGCGCAAGTTGTAACTGGTTTCAAATTGGGTAGTTTTCCTGTCAGATATCTTGGAGTGCCTCTAGTCACTAGAAAATTAACTGCCAAGGATTATCTTCCTTTGGTTGACAATATCAGAGGTTGACAAGATCAGAAGTAAATTGAGTATGTGGTCTAAATTGAGACTGAGTTATGGTGATAGGCTTCAACTTATTCAATATGTGCTTTTCAGTATTTCAAATTTCTGGTGTAGGCAGCTGGTTTTTCCTAATGTGGTCATCAAGCAGGTTGAGCAGCTTTGTATGAGGTTCTTTTGGAAGGGGGAGACACTCCTTCTAGGGGGCTAGAGTTAACTGGCTGCAAATGTTTTGGCTCAAATAAGAGGGTGGTTTGGGTTTAAAGAGCCTTGGTTGTTGGAACAAGGTGTGTTGTTTCTTGCTGATCAGGAATATTCTAGCAAATGCAGGGTCACTTTGGGTGGCCTAGGTCAAAGAGTATGCTCTAAAGGGGACTGCTTTTTGGGAAGTTAGTCCCAAGCCTCAGTTTAGCTGGACCTTGAGAAAACTCCTCAAGCTTAGAAATACAGTTGCAGATTTATTTGGCAATGTTGTTGACTGGAACGCAGTTAAAAGTAAATGGGTGTGGGAGAAGTTGAGAGACAAGAGGGAGAAGGTCAGGTGGGAACACCTAATTTGGTTTCCCCTACATGTTCCAAGGATGTCTATTGTTGCTTGGATGGTTGTTTTGAATAGGCTCCCAACTAAGGTCAAACTCATCAATATGGGAATGAAATTGGATGGACTTTGTGACCTCTGTAATGCTGAGTTAGAAGACAAAGACCATCTCTTCAATGATTATGGTTTTGTTAGTGGAATTTGGAGGAGTATTCTGCAGACCTGTAAAATTCCTCACATGATTCTGTGTTGGAGTGATTCTTTGGATTGGGCAGTAGTCAATTTCAGGGGTAAATCCTTGCTAGTTAGTATTTTGAAGCTAGCTTGGATTAGTCTTTTATATTTTGTATGGGAAGAGCGTAATTTCAGGTGCTTTAGAGGTTGTTCTCGGTCTGCTGATAATATCTTTGAGTGTATAAGAAGATATGTTGGTGATAGGATTAATGGTTGCAGCATTAACAAGGCTGACAGTGTTAATCTCCAGCTTTGTCTGGATTGGAACATTGGCTAGGTCCTGGCGGCTGTTGTTTTGTTGTAGGCTGTTGTTTTGCTGTGGGCTGCTGGTCGTCTCTTTCTTTGCTCTTTGCTTATCTTACTTCTTGCTTTGTTATTTTGGCTGATTGTTTTGAAAGTTACTGCTTAAGTTGCTAGCAGGGGTCTAATATCTTATTGACTTTTGTAGCTTGTTTTGACTGTAGCTTGTTATTGTTCTTTCTTTGGGTAATAAAATTCAAATTATCCAAAAAAAAATTATTTTTTTAAATAGGGTGAATATTACAGTACACCCCAAAGACGCATATAGTGCAATGTGTCTCCCATATTTTTTTCATATTTCATTTTTTATTAAGCACGACCTAATATATTGATAATATTTATAACAAAATAAGCAATTAATCTATTTTATTATTGTGAGATTTCTAAGAACGCATTAACTTAAACTTTAATAACATTTTAGACGCTCTTAATATGTTGACAATATTAATAACAAAATAATTAATTAACATATTTTATTATAATCAAATTTTTAATGTCTCATCAGCTTAAACTTTCATAATATATTAAGTGTTACCTAATATTTTGATAATATTAATAATAAAATAAGTAATTTGTTTATTTTCTTACCGTTTATAATATTTTAGACGTAACCTGTTATGTTATTTTTGTTGATAATATTTACATTAATTAACCTAAATTATTAAAGACAATATTTTTATACTCATTTTACATACAACGATAATATTTTCAATTATTACTATTATTATTAACACAAATAACATTTCTTGCTAAAACATATAACAATATCACTTTTAACCGATTATTTATTTAAACTAGAGAAAATCGTCTCAGTGACCAAAAATGCCTTATAATATACGATTTTAACCAACTTTTTTTGGATTTGCCAAAATGACCAACAAAATCGCAATGCGAAATAAAAATCGCAACGCGATCTCCAGAATCACAAATCAGTTCCCAGAATCGCAACGCGAATATGAAAATCGCAACGCGAATATATAAATCGCAACGCGATTCTGACTATCGCAACGAGTATCCGTAAAATCGCAATGCGTATCCGTAAATCGCAATAACAATACGTAAAATCGCAACGCGTATCCGTAAATCGCAATGAGAATACGTAAATCGCAACGTGTATCTGTAAATCGCAACGACAATACGTAAAATTGCAACGCGTATCCGTAAATCGCAACGCGATCGATAATTCGCAACGCGATCTCCGATATCGCAAATCAGTTTCCAGATTCGCAACGCGATTCTGACTATCGCATTGCGATTTCTCAAATTCGCGTTGCGATTTTCCTAATTCGCAATGTGAATACGTAAATCGCAATGCGAATCTATAAATCGCAACGAGATTCTGACTATTGCAATACTGAATTTCAAATTCGCAACTCGATTTCTGAATTCGCAACAGGTTATAATTTCGCAACACAAATGTTTTGGGTATATAACTACGCAGCAGCAGCAACTCATAACCTAAATCCCTAAATCATAACTCATTCCATCTCCATCTATCACTCTCTCCGGTGACATTCGTTCCTATATCCAACGACATCCTTCCCCATCCGGCAACAGGTTTTAGTTTCGCAGCTCGTTTGTTTAGTAAATTAATTTACAATAATGAAATCATCTAATGTTGATCATGTTTGGATAGTTTTGTGTTTTGGAGGGTCATGGGATAATGTTCATGGTGTTTTACAATATATGCCTTTACCCATGAAGTTTCAACTAAAACTGTCATTAAAAAAGTTAACTTATGAAACTCTATTGTTACATGTTGTAAATAAATTGAATTTAGAGCCCCTAAGTGGATTTAGGCTATCTTATCAGAGAAATGGTAAAGTTTATTTGTTAACCGACAATGAAGATGTTGAACGATTCATTGCTTACGTTAGTGTTTCAAGTGATGATGTTACATTGTATGTTGTTGAACCTAGAAGTAGTGAAGTTGGGTCAGTAGCGGGTAGTAATCAACTAAGTTTTTCAACCCAAGTTTATGGTGCTCAAAATTTAATGGTTCCACCACAATTTCATCACCAAGCAAATATTGTTTCACCACATTTCCAATAATAAACACAATCTCAAAACCCACAACCTTTCCCTAATCCAAATCCCAATCAACTTTCAGCACCAAATTCCGGTTTTCGTATTGACCAGTTAGACGATGATGAGCCAACAGAAAAAATTGTGAGTTCTAGTCAGTATTCGAAATTTGATCTTGGTCAATACCCGGACTTTGATCTTGGTCAATACTCGGATTTTGATGATTTTTCAGAAGAAGAAACAGACCCTGCGTGTAATGATTTTGATATTGGTCAATACCCGAATTTTGATGATGAAACAGCCGTTGTCGAGGAAGATGTTGTTGATGATAATGAGGAGGAAGTTACAACTACAAATGAACATGTTGAACATCCATTCTGTAATTCATATAACACTGAAGAAGAAAAAGAAGAAGAAGAAATCCCCAAAGAAAAGTCCCCGAAGAAAATGCCACGGGAGTATAACTGGAATATGCCAGAATTACTTCAGATACCGGAAGAAGAGTTGGTAAAGATAGCAGTTGAATGTTACACAAAAATTATTCGTATCAAGAAAGATGATTGTTTTGATACAAAGGAAGACTTGAAGATAGCTTTGCATACGAAATATGTGGAAGATGGCTATCAACTAAAAGTTAACAAATCAAGCAAAGATCGTTTCGAAACAAGGTGTATGATTGACAAAAATTGTATGTGGCGTATGATTGCAAAGAGGATAAAAGATTGCAAAATGTTTCAAGTTAGGACTTTTATTGATAAACATACATGTTCAAGAACCCAAGTTTTTCCTCACCATAGACAGGCAAACAAAAAGGTGTTGGGTGGTTTTCTGGCTGAGTTAATGTTTTTGAATGGTAGGGTATATCGGGGACATGAAATTATGACTGACATGAATGCTCGGTTCAAGATTAGTATCTCATATTCTCAAGCTTGGAGAGCCAAATGTTATGCCTTGGAATTGTTGAGGGGGTCGCCAAAAGCATCGTTTGCCCAACTACCGGCTTATTGTCACAATTTAAAGCTGAAAAATCCTGGGTCGATAACTCATATCAAAATAGATAGAGATGGACGCTTTGAGTTGCTGTTTATCGCCATTGGTGTTGCGGTTAGTAAATCAATATAATTTTGTTGACTCATTTTTGTTAGTTACATGCATTTCACATTTAAATGATTATATTTCTTGTGTATATGATTTTGTAGATTCGTTCGTTTATTAATTGCATGCGCCCAGTTATTATAGTTGATGGAGCACATTTAAAAGGTCGATACCTTGGAGTAAACTTATTAGCAGTAGTCATGAATGCTAACAATGGGATACTGCCAATAGCTTACGGGGTTGGCAAATCTGAAACCTCTGATTCATGGACATGGTTTATGGGGCATCTTAGGGATTGCATAGGTTCTATTAGCAATCTGACAATCATATCTGATAGGGCAAACTCAATTGACAACACTGTTAGAAGGTGTTTCCCAGATGCTTTTCATGGACTTTGTGGTGTTCATTTGTATAGAAATCTAAAATCAAGGTATGCTGGTATAAAAAATCACAAATGGACATACTGGAAGGCTGTAAAAGCTTATCGGGAAGTGGATTTTAATAAGCATATAAACTGTTTAAGACGTGTTTTGCCTCAGTGTGCTCAAACACTAGAAGATGTCGGGTTTGAAAGATGGTCAAGAGTACATCAACTTAGAGCAAGATATGGTTTCATGACGTCTAATAGTGCAGAATCAATCAACGCTCTAAGTCGTCATTCCCGGAAATTACCCATTACTATGTTAATGGAGTTTTTTCGAGCCTCTATTCAACAGTGGTACTACAAGAAAAGAAACCATGCAAGTATTATTTCTTTAAATTCGTAACTTATCATATATTTTACTAAGTATTATTTATTTAAATTTACAGGAACATTTGAACATCGTGTTACACCATGGACAGAAAAAAAGATAACGAAACGTGTTGTGAAGTCAACGTCATGGAGAGTTGAACCATGTTCAAACACTTTTTTTGAAGTACTGGATAATAACTTAAATGGGCTTGTCGATCTAAATGCAAAGACGTGTAGTTGAATGAAATGGCAAACATCTGGTTATCCGTGTGGCCATGTTATAAAAGTTTTTCTTCATCTAAACCAAGATGATTCAAGCGCATACGCTATGGATTGCTACACTACAGAAGTATATCGACAGACTTATGGCGAGATTGTCTACCCTATTCCACATCCTTCTGAGTGGGACATACCAGATGACTTACAAACAGTTTTGCCACCAGCCATGGATAGAAGGCTACCTGGCCGACCAAAAAGTCACGATCGTATATCGTCTAAGGGTGAAGAGAAGAAGAGATCGACATGTAGTCGGTGCAAGGAAAGTGGTCATACAAGGTTGACATGTGGATCACCGGTGCCATCACAATCATCTTTTCCTCTACCAAAATATGGATCCCCATCAAAATCCCAATCACAACCGGCTTCACCTTTTGGGACTGTTAACTTAGGTGATTTTTAAATGCAAACATTGTATTATGTGTATATTATGTGTGAACTTTTAACATTTTCAGTTAGGCATGTATTAGTAACTTGAGTTTGAACATTGCTATGATAAGTTCAGTTGTTATCACTTATTAGACATTCATTTGACTATCGCAACGCGAATATGACTATCGCAACACGGAAATGACTATCGCAATGCGGAATTGACTATCGCAACGCGGAAATGACTATCGCAACGAGCGAATCGCAATGCGAAATGAAAATCGCAATGCGAAATGAAAATCGCAATGCGAAATGAAAATCGCAACGAGTGAATCGCAATGCGAAAATGAAAATCGCAACGCGAAAGCGATTCTCTCGTTGCGATAGTTATTTTCGTATTGCGATAGTCTGTTTTGCATTCAACATAATGCAGATTGAAATCAACAAATCAACTATTACATTTCAATCAATTAAACAAG